TGTTTTCTGGCTATTTGCAACCTGAATGATTAAATAGGAGCCTTTTGGACATACTGCAGTCGTGTCCAAAGCCTAATTCACTTGTCACGAGCACGGGACACGTCTGCTGGATCATGAAATGAAGTTTGAATCTGGGTAGGGACCACAGCTTGAACCATCATGTGTGTGAATATGAATGTTAAGGACAAATCTCTCGGCTCAAGTAAATTCGCTTCCTTAAATTCCCCTTTGCATTTCTGCTGTTTTCCACCTGGTTTTTATTTCCTTTATTTTTTTGTTGCCTTTTTTCTCTCCTTTTCCATGTTGGTTTTAAATGAACTGTCAGATGTCATTATTTCCCGCGGGCCGGCAGCGCTGCAGCAGAATTAGAAGCTCCCTTAAAGGGTTTTGGGTGCAAACCCAATAATTGAATCTAGCATTGCTGCCTGTGGGTTTCAAAGCTTTAAAGCCTTGAAAAGGGATTCAAGTGGAAGTGGTGACACGTAGCAGCATAAATAATTATCTTTGGTCCCTTTCACCTCTGAATTCTTTTTTTACAGCGTACAGAACATGGTCTGAAGAGGTTAATAAACGCGCTGCTACAAAGTGCTTACGAAATTAATGCAACTGCCATGGATATGGGTTGCTCTGTGGTGAAGGGGGGGTTTGCTGGAGGCCTCCAGCTCCTCCACAGAACCTAAAGATAAACTTGATGGCGTTATGCAGGTGTTTGACATCTTGATTTTAGGCTGCAGCAGCAACTGAAGGGCCAGATAAAGGCCTTGTGTGGCTGGATTGCACTGCTGCGCTGGGGTTGTGTGGAACTGGAAGGGCTTGGAGCTTGTTTCCTATTGAAAGTGCTCACAGTTAGACCTGAAAACAAAGATAAAACCTTCCTGATGGCAGAAGCAGCGTATTCCACACAGTGCTTTTGGGTGCACCACATGGGTTTCTGTCCGGAGCAGGCTGAAGCAAACCACTCCAGTTTCCCTGCTTATCCCCGAGCCCCCGTTGGAGAGAGTAAGGATGGATTTCCCTTTAGAATGAATGAAAGGAAACCCCTCTTCCCCAAACACCAAAAAACTCCTGGGAGGACACAAAGCCCCATCGCTGCCGTTAGTGCATCCATTGAATGCCCTTCCTGCAATGCATCAGGTTTTGCAACCATTATAAATGTTTCAAAGGAACTCGATGCAATTTTTCACTGGATTCAGTGTACAGAATGCCTCACCTCAATTTAAATACACAGATATGCTGGAGTGATTTCCAAGGTGGGATTTCGGCATCTTTCACCTATTGTTTCGAATGAGTGAGTTCTGGAAAATGCTGCTTCTGTAACAAATACAGCTGTTTTAATTCTATTTTTCCTAAAAATACTTACTTGTAAAAATACCCGCCCTGCTTTAGCATCACACTGCTCACCATTAGAACAGGAAGGTGGCACTTGAGGGGCATTTTTCCTCGACGAAGTATTCATGGTGGGAATCATGAATCTCAGCGATGCTGTAACTCGCAACGTGACATTTGCGTCCTTGCTCTCTGTAAAGCATAAAGAGTGCGTGGAGCAAAGCCACGTTTTCTGTCCTAATTGGAAAATTTCGTTTCAGATCTGCCCTTCCAGGGGCATGCATGGTGATACATGTCTGTGTATATATATGTCTGTATATATGTGTGTGTGCATAGATGTGGCTTTAATGTACTGGTTTCTGTGCTCGGGGAAGTCCAAGCTTGTCTTCCCAGGGAAGCGCTGCCGTCGGGAGCATTGGGCACCTTCCCGTGCAGGGTTTATTGTGTCCCTTGTGTGGGCCATGCTCCATGGACCTTGTTTACCACCGTGTTAATCCAAAAAATAAATGCTTGCTTTTGTTTGTTTGCTTGCAGGCCTATGGCCCCGGGAGGCCCTACCCGCTGCCGCCTCCCTCGGGAAGATACGGCTGGAATTAGCTCCTGGCGACTTCCTTTTTAATCACAAAGTGTCCAGGCTTTTTGTTCTGTTCTTTTATTATCTGGGGGGGGGGGAGAGAATCCCAATGAAACCATCCCTGTAGTTTTTAAACTTGTTTAAATGTGCACATTTCGTACCCAACTGATGATGATTTTTCCTTTGTGGGAGCTGTGTCGCTTGGGAATAGCGGGTTGCGGAGTGCGAGCGCCCTGAACTTGCTCTGCTTGTGAGATGCTGGAGGAGGTGGGAATTCCTTATCCCCATCCCGCTGTGCTGCCCTCAGCTCCAGCCATCCTTGGCTGCACACACGGGAGCCTGGAATCAGCCCCGGGGTCGTGCGGGGGCACCTAGAGAGGGGATGGGGTCAGGCACCTGGGCACCGCTGTTCCTCCTCGGATGCTTCCTCCAGTGTCTCACAGAGAGAGGAGATTTTTTTGTGGGGAGACTTTGAAGTAAAACATTTCAACTTTTACACCTGGTGCCTGGTTCTGACTTTGTTCTGTCCCAGCAGGGCGTGCGGACTGGGCTGGGTTGGGGTGCGAGGTAAAGGAGCTGCGCAGGCCCGCGTTCCCCTTTGGTTTTAGCCCTCTTTGTAGGGGTTCCGTGTGGCTGTACCAAATCAGTGCTTATTTTTATTTGCTTTATAAAGTGGCTTTTGAAACGGGGAGCAGGAGCGAGTGGTTCATTTCCAACCCCTCCACCGTGGCTGCGGATCTGTGCTCTGGACCTGCCTGAGTGTCTTTGTAGTCATTTCTTGGGAAATAATTCCAACAGCATTTAAAACCTTTTGATTAACCCAAACCCAAACTCTGGGATTAGCTGAGCAGCATTAATGCCACTGTACCACCTTTCCCATGTGCCACGCTGGGACTTGTCCCATGGAAATCGCTCAGCTCCCCAGCTCTGGAGTGGTTTTCCAGCCCTGTCCTTCGAGGTTCCTGATGTTAATCACCAGCAACGAGGAAAAAGATGGGATCAATGTAACCTTGGGAGGAAGAAAGGATGAAACCGGGTTCTTTATTTTCAAGTGACCGAGGGTGGAGCAGAATTCTTCATTGTAATGCAGAGTTCCATCCTGCCCGGACCTGGGAGCGTCAGCCCTGGGCCATGGCCTCCCTTGGCCAGGAGGGTGTTTGGGACTCAAAAAAGTCATTTTTATTTTTTGAGCAAGACAAAACCAGCAGCAGATGCGGATTTTCATGTAACTATGATGGTTGAGCATGGGGCTGGAGGGAGGAGGAAGGACCTGGGGGCTGGGGGGGGGTGTCTCTTGTTCCCTGGGTTTGGGGGTATGGAAACGGAGCTGGATAAAGGGTCTAGGGGGTTGCTATGGGAAGGGGTTGTCCCTTACACAGTTCTTCACCCCTTGGCTGCTTCAAGCCTCCGAGCTGGCTCCTCAGCCCTGCAAGATGTGGAGCCCACCCCAAGGCTCGGAGCAATGCTGTGGTTCCTCTGCTCCGTGGCACGGGGGTGGGATGCAGGCCCTGACTGGGGAGCATCACTATCCCTGCTCTGGCTGCCTCTGTGTGGTACTGGAGCTGGCCCTGGTGGCCAGGATCCCGGTGGCATCCTCAACCTGCTCTGCCTGCACATCCCTACGTTTTCCACGCTGGAGCTGAGCCTGGGCCATCCCCTTTGTTTTAGGAGGGTTGAAGGGGGCCTCACTCACCCCCTGGCCCGGCCCCAGACCCATCCCCTTCCCACATGCACCCCTCAAGCCGCCTACGTGGGAACCAGCAGGGAGAAACGCTCCAGGCAAGCACGGCCGGGGAAGGGGATGAATCGCGGGGGGCCCCCGAGGGAGCGGCCCCGGGTGGGCACCGGCGGGGATCTCCCCTTCCCCTCCCGGGGGCCGGGAGCGGCTCCGTGGGCTCACAGAGGCTGAAATCCCCTTTTTCTGCCCCAGAAGCGTCCCGGGAGCAGCGCGGCCGCCCCTGGGGAGCCCATGCGAGGCCGGGGGGTCAGCGGGTGCCCCCAGGAACAGAACCCCTTTGACGGCTGAGAGAGGGGAGGGAGAACAGGGTTTGGGGATGTCCGGGGCGGCCAAACCGCGTCCGTGCGTGCGCCGGGCAGGAAAGAGCGGCTCGAGAGAGCGGGATTTCCTTTTATTGGGACTGGGGGGGGAGAAGGGGGAAAAGATAAAATAAAAGGAAAAAAAAAACCCCAAAAAGCCGGAAACTTCCGAGCGCCGCTCCCGCATTCCCGGGGGAAGGGGCGCGGGGACCGACCCCGCCGCCCGCGCCGTCCCAACGCTCCCCGCCTTTCCTCCTCCGGCCCGGGGGACCCGGCCCAGGGAATAACGGGGTCTGGGGGTCTCTGCAGCTCGTCGGAAGCTCACGAAGCGCCGCGGCCGCGGCGGCCCCGTCCCTGCCGGGCGCTCCCTCGCCGAGCAATGACCGGTACCACAACGGGGAAAGCGCTGTGCCCCGTTAAACCCCGTCCAACCCCGTCCTCCGCCGGGCGCCCTCCGCCGCTGCCCGGCCCGGGTTTGGGTTAATTCCCTGCCCGCCGGTACCGCTCAGTTCCCTTTCGTTCGCATCCCATTGGAATCGCGCTCCGGGGGGGTTGGGGGGGGGCACCCTCACAAATGAGCTCTGCCGAGATCGCTGCGCTTCACAGGATTTATTGTTCGCGTCCGCGGGCCCTGTCCAGGTGTGCGCGCACCGGGGGCGCCCCGCTTCGGGCTGCCGCTGCCCCGGGAGCGGGATCCCGCCATCCCCAGGTTCCTCCCCGGCCTCCCCCGCCGAGGGGCCGCCCCGTCGGGGCCGGTCTCCCGGGCCGCGCACACCGGGCCGGACACGGAGGCACAAACACGCGTCCGCACCCGCACACCGCAAGTAACGGCGCAGCCCCGCGCCCGCAGCACCGGACCCACGCGTGGGCTCCCCCCCCCCCCCCCTTCTGCGGGCCCTGGTCTCCAAAACCCAGAGAGTCTTAAAAAAAAACCAGCAGCGCAGCGAGGCCGGGGAAGGAGCGGGACGGGCCCGGGGCCGCCGTCGGGGCTCCCCGCAGCGCCGGGAGGGCCCGGTCCCGGCGGGCGGTGGCGGGGGGATGCGGAGGGACGAACACCCAGGGATTACCACGTCCTGCCGTAGAGCAGGTTGGGGCTGACCATGCCGCCGTTGTAGTCGACGCCGGCCGAGTCCAGAGGGGCCAGGGGGCCGTGCAGCGCCGGCGGGCTGGGGGACAGCTCCTCCAGGTCTGCCGCCTGCCCCAGCGAGCCGGGGTGCGGGTGAGCGGCGGGCGCGGAGGCGGGGGGGGCGGGCGCGGGCTGCCCGGGGGCCGGGGTGCCGCTGCCCGGCGGCGGGCAGGGTTTGCCGTCCTTCACCAGCACGGGCACGGCGACGCGGCGCGGGGAGTGCTGCTGGCAGAGGCCGCCGTCGGGGTGCAGCTGCTGCGCGGCCGCCGCCTTGTCCTTGGCCTGGCGCTTCATCTTGTAGCGATGGTTCTGGAACCAGATCTTCACCTGCGTCGGGGTGAGGTGGATCAGGCTGGCCAAGTGCTCCCGCTCGGGCGCGGACAGGTACTTCTGCTGCTTGAAGCGCCGCTCCAGCTCGTAGACCTGCGCCTGCGAGAAGAGCACCCTCCTCTTCCTCCGCGGGGCCGCGTGCAGCGGCACGATGGCCTTGGCGCCCTCGGCGATGCCGCTCAGGCCGCCCATCCCGGCCACGTTCATCCCCGCCGACGGGCCCATGAACCTGGAGACTGAGCGGGACGGGCGGCTCAGCGCCGGCGGCCGCCCCGTCGAGGGCAGCGGCTCCCCCCCTCCCGCCCGCCCGCTCCCCGCTCCGCCGCCCCACGCCCGCACTTACTGCTGGAGTACCGGGGGTCGCCGCCGGCCCCGTACCAGCCGCCGCCCGCCGCCGCGCCGCTCCGCATCCCCTCGGGGTAGGCGGGCAGCTCGCCCATGTTGCCCAGCCCGCCGTTGCAGTAGCCCCCGACGGCGCCGTGCGGGAACTGGGAGACGCCGTGAGGCATGTGGTAAGCGGCCGCCCCGGTGGGGCCCGTCACGACGTGCTGCGGCACAGCGGCGGCGGCGGGTACCGGCGGCTGGCGGTAGGGCCCGAGGGGCGCGCCCAGCCCGCCCGCCCCGTCCATGCCGCCGAACTTCTTGTAGCTCTCCTCCATCGGGCTGAGGATGTCGGTGACCGAGAAGGGCGTCGTGTGCTTGGGGCTCAGCGACATGGCGGGGCGGGACGGGACTGGACGGGATGGGCCGGGCCGGGCGCTGCCGCCGGCACGGGCGAGGCGCGGCGGCCACCAGCCCCGGGCGCCGGTAGCTCGCCGTTTCTTTTAGCCCGGCGCCGGGTTTACGCCAGACGCGGGGGGGCGGAGCGAGCGCGCCCGGCGGGGGAGAGCGGCGGCGGCGGCCCCGTCCCCTCCCCGCCTCCCGCCGCCCGCCCCGGCCCCGGCCCCCTCCTCCCGGCCATTGTCCTGCGCCCGCCGGACGGCTCTTAAGCCCGGACGCCCCCGGGCCGCGCCGGAGCGGCTGCGAGCGGCCCAGCGGCCGAGCCCGTAAGTACCTGCGGGGCCCCGTGGGGCGCGGAGCGGGCGGGGACAAGACAGAGCCCCGGGGCGTGGGGGTGTCCCCCAGAATCCAGCGCCTCCAGCCCCGGAGCCGCGCGACGGCTGCAGCGCGGAGTCGGACCCGACGGCGCGGACGGGTGGCAGGAGCCGGGGACAGCGCTGGCGGTTCCCCGCTGCGGGGCAGGCAGCGGGATTGCCCCGGGCCCTCGGGCTGCGGGACGGAGCCCCCGGGCCGCCGCCGCCCGCGAAGCCGCTCCCGCCGGGGTGCGGGCCCGGGCGGGGACCCGCGCAGCGCCGGGGTCCGTCTAGGGCTGGTGCTTCGTTTTCCGTTGGGGTTTGGGGTTGGGGTTTGGGCTTTTCCTTTGGTCGTTGTTCGTTTGTTCGCTGGTTTTGCGATAACGAATCGCCCCCTCGGGGCTGCCCGCGCGCCCGGCCGGGGCTCCCCCTGCGCTCCCCGTGCCCCGGGCTGTGGCGCTGGAGCCCCCCCGCGGCAGGGCCCGGCGCCCGTCGGGGGGCAGTGGCCGGGGCCGGGTCCTGCCCATCCCCGCCGCTCCCAGGGGCTCTTTGACGGCCGTTTGCAATCCGAGAGGAAGGGGTATGGGGGTACCCGCCCCTGGGGGCATAGGTGCTGCCAGCGGCTCCTGCCCGTTCCCCCTTGGGGCGATCCGACGGGGCGGGCGGCAGCCAGAGCTCCCCGCATCCGTGCGCGGGAGGACACGCTCGGGATGCACAGCGCCGTGTGTGTGCGGCACCGGCAGCACGGAGCCGACCCCGCACACACTGCGGGAGCCGCGGGGTCGGCCCGGGGTGCCCCGCGTGGGTGCCAGCCCACCCGCACCCATCCATACGAATGGGGACCAGCGGAGCTGCGCTGCACCCCGGGGAGGGACTGGCCCCGCTCCGGGAAGGGATGAGCCGCACTGTGGGGCGCCAGTCACGTCCCGCACCTCCGGAGCGGACCCTTCTTGTCCTGTCTCCAAACCCAGTCCGTTCCCCGGTTCCTTCGGGCAGAGCCGCCGAGCAGAGCGCCTGGAGCTCTTGGTGACCACGGAATTCAAACGAGAGATAAAAGCCCCGAGAAGGAGCAATTCCGTTTCTCAAAGTTTGTTTCCCCCTCCCTAAGCCCTAAGTCCGCGGTGCGGGGTGACTTGAACAAGTTCAGACCTCAGCGTGCACTACAGCTCCGGCCCGAAGCACCCGGGCAGTTTTCCTGCAGCCCTTTATCCAGTTGCAGTTTCCCCACAGAATTCCTGAGCTGATTTTGTCCTGGTTTCTCCCTCCCTGCTTCAAAGGAGCATTTTAACCCCTTCCTCCGTGGCTGCCCGTCATCGGGAGGGCCTCCTGCCGCCCCTCTGGCTGTGCTCTGCCGCTGCGGCTGGAGGTGACCCATCAGTGAGACCCCCGGGGGTTCACACACAGCCCTGTCTGCTCAGCCGGGGGTACAGGGGCTGCAAACAGAGACCCCGGTGCCTGTTCCCATTGCCCGGGTGTTTCCAGGCACTGTTGGTACACCCGTGCTGCGCTGTGTGCTGCTGAGCATCATCTGAGCGCAGCTCCAGTGTCTTCCTCAAAAGGCTGACGGTTGCATTGGATTTTATTTCATTTGATTTGATTTGATTTGATTTTTTCCCTCCCTTTTCCTTTCCCCATCCCTTGGGCATGTGTCCCCTCCTTTCTAGGAGTCAGGAGCTGCTGAAAGCTCCATCCTCGCCGGACTTAAAGGCTCCTTTTCGTGTTCAGGGCCAGTGACATCACTCCAGTGGATGGGGATCAGGTCGGAGCTCCCCCGGGCAGGCAGGAGGAGGGATGGGGACCCGAGTCAGCCCTGCAGGGAAGCAGCCCTAGGGTTAACCGGCAGCTTGGCAAACCAGGGACCCCGGAGGTGGATGGATGGAGCTGGGCCGGGAGAGGCAGAGCGCCGTGTCCCGCTCCCGTCCGGAGGCAAGAGGCTGCTCCCGGTACCGCGGGGATGATTCTCTGCACGCCGCTGGGGCAGGGAGGAGACTGGGACCTCAGTGGGGCCTCGGTGCTGCTCTGGTAACAAGCCAGGCAGAGATACGGTGAAGGGATGAGCGGGACTGGCCCCGTGAGCCTGGCAGGGGTGACCTGGGGTTTGGGATCTGGCACCACCGAGGTGGTCCATAAGGATTCCTGCGATGGACTCCGCTTACACACAGGACATTTAACTTGGGAGCTGTGCAGGAGGAATGAAATGCGATGGGTAACCAGTGGGAGAGCAGCCCAGGATGGGTGCACCGGTAGGAAAATGACCCCGAGCGCTAGAGCCGCGGTCAAACTGCCGCTGGAGGAGCGGGATGAGGGGTGACGAGGGAGGTTTCACCCATGATGGGGCTGGGACGGGCTCTCGGGGTCCATGGTGGGTCCCTGCCTGCTCCGGACGTCCCGGGTCACCCCCTGCCCGGCTCCCAGGGCCAGAGGCCGCTGCTCCCTGCACCCCCTTGCAGAGCCGAAGGGGAAGCGCAGCCTGGGCGGGGGGGAGCCGAGGGAAACGGAGCCAACGAAATTCCTCGGTGTTTGCACTGAGCCCCCCCGGATCCTGCCCACATCAACCCCGCGGGGCTGTTACCAGGAGCACAGCACCGTAGGGAAGGGTTTCCCCGTTTCCGAAGCCGGGCATTGTAACTCCCCCTAAACGCAGGCTTTCGGCAGGGTCAGTATGGAACGTTTGGTCCCGTTGGAGTGTTCTTCCCTTTGCTGTTTCCCCCTGGCAGAAGCCCATCGCTCCCCTTTGTCCCAGCCCTGCTCCAGGGACTGGTTTTTCTCATGGGAAGATGTTTCATTTCGTTAGACTGGGCTGCTGGTAGGGAAAATCCTGTTGGAACAGGAAATGTACCCCCCGAAACACGTCCCTCATGTAGGCTCTTCCAACTTAAGCAGTGGAAGTGCCACACAAGGACCGCGTCCCTCTGTTCCCGGAGAATATCAAGCCACAGCTGCAAGCAAAGCCGCTTCCAAAGCCGGTTTCCAGGGGCGGCATCGCAGGAGCGATGGGGTGGATGGTGACGGGAAAACACCTCCCAAACTATGAGGTTCTCCTCCTGTGGCATTGTTTCCCGAGCTGCTCGGTGCCCCCCCGCCCCGGTGCAGATGTGATTTCAGAGAGCACGTTGTCTTCCTGATAATAATGACACACTTTGGCCGTGCGGCGCTCATTTCCACACTAAGCCGTTCCCGCTATTGGAGGCCGTGCCTATTACAGCGCAGATACTGACCTTGGCAGGACACAATTGACACCCAGGCAGAGGCTGATTCCTGGGGGTTGCGGTGGTTCTCAATAATCGTATAAATGCTAATTTCTTTCCGTGGCAGCTTGCCTAAAAGCGATGGTTTCTACTGCACCATCAGCGGTGGCCGCTCGTTGCCCGGGCACGGTGTTGTGATCACAGCTGATGGCAGCCTGCCTCCGTTCCACTCTTACCAGTAATTTGCAGACATTAGAAGGGCCTTGGAAACGGAGGCTTGAAGAATTGCTTTCTAAAGACGTTGTTAGATGGAAAAAGGAACCTGGGGTTTCCAGTGCTCTCTAAAATCACTTCCACATAAACCCCAGTTTAGCAGATTTAAGTGTCACTAAATGGGCTGTTCGCAGCAAAAGGAAGATACTGATGCGGTGAAAGCGAGCTCTGCTCCTGCTGCGGGTGCTGGGCTCGTGCCTGTGCCTGGGTACCTTATGCTAAACTCAATGGCAGGCTTATGGGAGGTATATGTGTGTTATTCTTGCTGTACCTGACACCGACCCCCTTTAAGGTTCCCTTCGTCTCCCTCTCTTTACCTGACTATGATTTCCATCAGGCAGAAACATTCACAGTATTTTCCCTTGTGACTGCAGGTTTTCCTTACGCTACTCTTTGGGAGAAGACCGCTATAAACATATTGGACTCGTCAGATCCTTCTCTGCTCGCCAGGTGGATTTTTTCCCTTGGGGCTTTGTTCCCAAGGAGCCTTTCTCACCCTTTTCCTGGTGCCCGCAGTGGGCAGTGTCTGCTCTGCCCCACTGATGCTGTGCGCTGGGCTGAAATCACCTCCTGAGCCATCAACTACACACCCCATCCAATCCCACCCCCGGGATAGCGCAGCCTGGCAGGGCAAGGACACACTCATCTGCTGTCTGTGCCTCCTCATCCTCACTGACAGCTGGGGGCACTGCCTGTCCCATTCCTGGCTGTGTCCGCGCAGCTTCATCCCTCCTCTGCCCTTGATGCCCAGGCACATGGATGCTGTATTTGGGTGCATTAAGCCGCAGCTGGGTGCTGGGTGGCTCCCACCACCTTTTAGGAGCACCCTTCCTGTCTCATTTACCGTGCTGTTAATTTGATGGGGGGTGGCTGAAAATCCTAACAGCTCTCCCAGGTTTTCTGCCCAGCCGCTGTGGAAGATGCTGAGCAGCACAGGACCCCTCTGGAAACACCCTGGAGGCTGGCAGTGGGTGCAGCCACTGCCAGGGATCAGTTGCCAGCCCCCTTAATGAAGGTTACATTGATTTCACCATTAATTCTGGTGCTGGATGGAATCAATGTGCTGATATCACCAAACCCAGTCCCTTGGGCCTGGGTTAGGAGATACCTGCAGTCATTCCTGGTTTTCTCTCATTGAAACAATGACAAAATGCTCTCCCTGGTGCATTTTGCTCCCAAACA